TCCCTACACGACGCTCTTCCGATCTCCCCAAAACCCCAAAACCCCAACACTATGAATTTGAGTTAAAATCACGAATGAATTATTAACATTAAAAGCTAAGGCAAAAGTAACTTTTATAGTTTTTATATGCTTTAATGACCCTATTATTTATTGTTAATCACTGTCATTCATAGTAGTCTGCGTAGTCTAGTTCCTATCTAATTACTGGCTTGGCTGTTTCCATTACCTCTCCTCCAATTACCATGCTATCTAAAATTTGATACACCTATGAAATGGTTAAGTTAAGATATCAGTTTGTTGATTATTAATGATTATTAAGCTAGATGGGGAAATTGTGTTACCTTGAAAAAGTTAAATACTAAGTCAAGTTCGCAGACACTGCCAAAATATTGATCTAGAACTTCCACAAATAAGTGTATGAACTATATAAATAAGGGAATGGTAAAGTACCTCAAGCATCGAGAGTTCATTATCGCTTTAATCTACACATAGTGTGAAAAATAATCCTGCATATCTTCTGTATACCAATTTATGATTTCTAAACTATAAGCTTAAGTAAGTTCTCAGATTTAACTCAGTCAATCAAATACTGTATGCATGATCATTCATGAATCAGCTTTAGATTTCTGCTTTGACTTACCTCTAGAAAATTAGTATGCCTTGAATCTCTAGCCACTATTTATCTGTGCGATTCTATCTCGATCTTTCTCCTCTCCTCCTCGTTATATGCTACATACCATCTTGACAAACGAGTCTTTCCCTGTCTGTTTTACAGTAATATAAATCTAATCTATGAGCGAAATTAATCAGCAAAAGAAATAGAGTCAAATTTAATGGTATAGAGCGGAATGAGTGATAGAAATTTACCATTATTTTGCTTCGTATTTTAAAATTAAGTTTATATATTAAAATTTGAATTAAAACATAACTATGACAACATTATAATAATTATATAAAATAGTTAATTCTCAGAAAAATGATAGGAATGGACCCAGAAATAGCACTCTACTACAAGGATAGACAGGAAAAGCAACTCTACCTCAAGAACGAGATCCAAGATCAAAACTATAATGTCGCTGAATTCGCATAGTTCTTGGATTACAAGAGAGGTAAGTTGAAGCAACCAGAATTCATATGATAAGATATCTAGGCTGACATAGTTTAGAATAATACATCTATCTTATTATTATCGGAATGAAATACTCACTTTCATTCCTTAACATATTTTCTCAATTTACAAGTTGAAGCAATTATTTATATGCATTATAGAGAAGGGCACTGATGTAGACACATGGACTTTGGAAGAACTCGAGGAAGTAGTTTCTGAATTCAAGCAAAACTATGCACCCTAGTTCGATTAAGCAGCTATGATGCAACACTTTGATGATTAGCAAGAGTATCAGCACAGATAAACTTTTGCTTAGATGGTTGCAAACGATAGTCAGTAATAGTAATATGGTGGCTATCCAAACAATGAGGGCCATCAGGAACAATATAATAACGAGTTTGACACTCAATAGTAAGATCAGCAGCTATCTAACTCCATGAACCAATAATTGCATTTTGAAGAGAAAAAGGATTTATCATTTGAAGTCATTCAGCAAAATGAATTCAATAGAGTCAAGATAAGCAGGCAATACATCGATACCAAAAAGATCTAAGATGCTCCAACTCCACTTAATTTTAAGAAGGTTGATATTAGAGTAAGCGAAGGACTAATAAAAGATGCAGGTCTTTTCAGTCAGAATTATATTACTTACAAGATTGAAACGCTACCTCTTAACTATGATGTGCGAAGAAAAGATGCTGACTTCTTATTCCTAAGAAAAATTCTGGTTAAGGGTTATCCCCATATCATTGTCCCGCCCTTGCCATCCAAGGCCCCAAAGCCCAATCCAAAATATATAAAGAAGAGAGAAAAATACTATTAGAGATTCCTATAAGCTATTGCAAGGTCAGAGGAGCTGAAGTCATCTTAATTCCTTCTTGATTTCCTTTTTGACAATGACCTCAAGAATTTCCAAAAAGCGATGAAAGAAGCTGATAAAGCCAGGTATCCAAAAACCATTGATGAGCTTATTACATATAAAGGCCAGGGTAAAGTGTAAATGACTTCCAATAGTTCTGCATTCTGCACTAAAATGGTTGACTATGCTGACAGCTATCAAATCCTTTACAAAGAAATGATTGACTGCGCTAAAGAGATTAATGAGAAATCACAGGAGTTAGCTTCTACCATGTACTAGCTTCATAAGTTTATAGAGCAGATGAGCGAGCTTAATAGAATGATTAAATGTCAATCTCAACATGAATTATTTGCTTGGCTATCTAAGATGATTACTGGCTCTGGCAACTTTATAGCTTAGCAAGGTGAACTTATTGAAAAGTATCTGGGAGAGCATATGAAATTTCATTTAGACGAGCATGAGCCATTTAGAGAGCTATTCACTATTAGAGAGCAATAAAAATAGGCCTATGTTAAAATAGAGAAATCACTGATTGAAAGAAAAGAAAAGTTATTTAAGTCTAAGGATGTCTACAAATGGGGTGGCTTTGTGGATAATATTGAACTTTTAAAGCTTAAAGACGAACTATTAGCTGATAAAGATAAAGCATTCTAATATATGCTTCCAAAAGAGACAAAAGAAGTCGAGGCCAAGAGAGAGGAGTTATGCTTCTACACCAATCAGTGCTGGGATGAGATTCGCAGAGTAGGAAATGACAATGGCAGACTTATCAGAGATCACTTTAGAGACATGAGTCAAATTCAGTGCTCTTACATTAATCAGGTATGCTCAGTTTTATGCTATAAATATTCATTTAGAATCATGTGATGTGGGCTGACTTTTTATCTCATTTCGCTGAGCTTGCTGCTTAGGATCTAGAGTAAGATAAGAAGTAGGAACAGGAATAGCAGTAGTAGTAATTGAAATTCGATGAGAACATTGAGACCAGAGACGGTGGCAGTGGAGGCACTGGTAGAATTGCTTGATCATAGTATTAGACTCATGCGCAATAAGATTGAGATACATTTATCTGAAATGAATAACATTCCCTTAAATTACTTTAACTGACCTATTTCATCTCTTAGGGGTTTTGGGGTTTTGGGGCCTCCTTGAATGCATCCATGTC